AAACAGCTGATTCAGATACAACACTAGAATCGGCTTTCTTTAGATAGCGCCAACGGATAACGATAGAAGCTATGATCGGCGCTGGGACGAGACATGCTGGACTCTACAAAAAGGGAAAGATTAGAGTCCAAGTTATCTTAAATTAGGAATGTTTTCATTATTATGCCAAAGATTGTAACAAATCGTGCTCGAGTAGGATTCATGTCTAGACTCCGGGTATAAATATCAAACCCCGGCTATTGTAAGAGAGACTCAATCAATCAAATACAAGTCAATTACTTTTTTCGGCTCCGGCCACCCCTTCGGAGTAGGAGTAGAGTAGATCTCGGCGAGTTCTTCAGCGAGTACGGCTGCATCGATTCGGTCGACCTCCGCTGCTTGTCTGTAAGTACCGTCATGGTTTATACCTATGTTCGTATGGCTGCATCAATCCGGTCGACCCCCACTGCGACTCTGGTATAGGCTAGTTATCGACTCTTGCATAGTTCAAGTATGGCCTGTGTGATTCTGCCTCACACCCCACTGCTTGAACTAGATCAAGGTCAAGTTATCGGCTCTACCTTAGGATGGCAGTCTTTGGTAGATTCATTAAGTTACCGATATTGCTTATTGCTTTCATCGTTTATCTAATTACAACAATATCACTCTACCCGATTGAGATTGATTTGGATCGGCCTTATATCTTATTTAACCTATCGTTTGCTAATCTAAAGTTGATCTAATCTACACCTTAAACAATGAGTTATGCTTTATCGGCTGTTTTGCGTCAATCTTAATCGTACATAGCGTGTGGTTAAGGCATGTTCGATCTTGAGTAGATCTATTGGTTAGCGAGAACCGTTTCATGGTCCGTTATCATGGCCTGTGGGATTTTGCCTCTCACCCCACTATTAGCACCATGGAGTGGGGATCGTTAGTCGGTAGATCCGTTCCTGAGAAGGCATGACCTTAACTGTGCGCTATGCCTGAATCGGCTGTTTAGCCGATATCGAGCGCTTTCACGAACAGTTCACATAACGAGATCATTGAAGTAGAGATAAGTTGAAAGATATGTTAGCCCCATGATCTTATTATTGTATTACGGCCTGCATGATTCTGCCTCATGCCCCACTGGTCATGGCGATAGATGAGATCTAACATGTTCATTAGATTTATCTTTATTAAATGGTCAAGTGGTGTTGAATTGTTTCTTTATATAAAAAGGAGTTCGGTTACTTGTAATCATTGGCTCAGTATAAACCGATTATCATTGATATCTTATTACCATTGATTAATATTTGCTTAAATAATATTTATCCTGAATGATAACTGATTCTTCTTATACAACCCCATTAGCTTTAATCGATTTATTCTTATCAATATGCTGGAATCGACTATTTAGTCGATCTCCTCTCATATCGGCTCTCAGAGCCGCACATTCGGGACTGTCTGGCAACATCGGCACGTTCCGCCCTTAATTACTAATGAGCTTTCTCTCCTTGTCAATTGCAGGGTCAAATTGACTGGCACGTCTCGGGAGGATTGCGTAGGATCGACCACCCTTGCGCTGAAGCTAGGCGGATCCGCTCCATCGAGCGGACCCTTCTGGCTTGCTGCGTGTGTTCTCGGCACGGAGACAAAAATTATGTGTCGACACTTCCCCCTACATTACATGCCATCCCTTAACTACCTCCCCCTTCGACCACCACCACATCTGGCTAGCCTCCACCATAAACCATCCACCTTTCACCTCCACTAATTAATAAACTCAACTTATATTATTTAACTCCTCATTAATTAATGGAATTATAATGGGTCATGAGCTTGGTTATGATAATGTGAACATTGATTATACTTATCTTGATATGATATAAGTTTAACTATGATATTGTGATAAGGTAATGGTTACCTTGATGAACTTGAGGATAATAACTATGAACTTAAAACTGGTAAAACTGGACTAAACCCCGACAGGGGGTGAGTGGGGGTATTTTATGTAGGGATAAATTACCTCGGCAGGATCGCCTAGTGAGGGTTCCTATGGGAGATACTCACCTCGGTCACATAAGGACCGATTCGTAGTCCCTCTCGTACATACAGCCATATGTCTATATGGGTAGACTTGATCTCACACCCGTTAGATTGAAGTATAATTTCTACTAGGAGACTGGTGATGGCAGCGGAATATCAGGAGCAGGCACGGATGCTATGTGATCTTCCGTGGCCCGGTTGGTGTGGTTGCTATGTGATCCTCCACGTTAAGCCCTTGATTTTGGCCGCGTTCAAGAATATTATTATTGTTTATATTGATGATTTGGTATCATCAGCACTATTATGTTGGGATGATGTGGTATTGTTCGAGATTATATGATGGGATGATGTTGTATCATCCAAGATTATGAGATGGGACGGTTTGGTATCCTCCCAAGATTAGTGTGTTTTTCAACCCCTTAGAAGTCATGGTAGAGTTATATGGTAATCTGAGGATGCGTCCCTTTGGGAACGAGGTCTCGTTAGGCCTATCGCGCTATTGGCCCTGGTGTGGACTACACCTATCATGTGGAGAAATTTGTACACCTCAGCATAGTTTATTGAATCTATTCGAATAGCCACGTTCTTAGAATGGGCAGATGTTGGGATGAGATACTATGAATAAACTTCTCTTAAAATGGTGATAATCTGGTAAGACGCTTTTTACTAATCTGGTAAATTATAATTAACTCCGGGAACTGCTAAGAATGGTAATACTCTGCCAGGGTCCAACATATAATTATAACTACTTCACCCTACCGCTTTTACCTCCGCATTAACCACCATAACCTTCTCCACATATAGCCCTCCCTTCCACCTCACCTCCACCCAAAATTAGGGCTTGTTGAGTACTTTATGTATTCAACCCCTCCATTCTATGTTTTTTAGAATAAAGCTACAAGAGCATATATACGGATCAAACTTTTGAAGCTACGCAAGGATAGGACAATAGGCGAATGTATGAATATGGAGCTATCGAGTACTACGCAAGGATAGGACAACCGGAGTATACCGAAGAAGGGAGTCGTACGACTACACAAAGGAGCTACGCTAGGACTATGACGATTAGGACATAGGAATACGCTTAACGAGTATGGCTAGGGTTACGTCCGCACTCCAAGTTGACTGTAGGAATGGAGCCACTATGATATAGGACCATCGTCTTAGAACTCTGATATATACTAGAAGGCCAATGGCCTAAGCTATGTAAACCGGAACCATGTAATGTGTTTTCCCAATTAACAATAAAAGTGTGGTTTTTATATCAATCTTGTTCGAATTGTGCGTATTAGCTACTGATCCAGAGACTGATACACGATGCACAGAGGACCCTAAATTAGGGGCCCCGACATTGGGTCTATTCCGTGTGACGTGGCACAGCGGAGCTTTTCTGGAGAAGATCGGACGCTGAGCGCATCAGGACACCCCTGACCAAACGCGTCAGGTCACGAAAAATCCTCTCTGCATACTTTCTGGAAGTGAACCGGACTCTAGTTTGGAGAGCGTTAGGTCATTGAGTGTTAGGTCCGATCATTGGTTCGTAGAGGCTCGGATGCGCATGATCGGACGCGGAGACGGTGGGTTCGGTCGTCCTCCGTTAGGTCCGATCATCACTTAACGCGTGCGTGGGAGTCAGCCGACCATTGGGATCGCGCAGCAAAGGTTGAAAGCGGAGGACACGTGGCGCGTATCCCATGATCGGACGCTGGCTCGGGCGCGTCCGGTCGCCCCAACCAGCACGTGTCGGTCAGCGCACAGTAACCTCCTCCTTGACCCTAACGGCTCTATTTCGTTTTGGGGTTATAAATACATGGTAACCGGCTTGAGCTCACTCTCTTGGCCATTTCTATTGAGAATACAACCTAATGTGCCTAGTCATTCCTCTCTAACTCATCTTGTTTGATTGATTCATCATTTGGTGCGATTGGAGAGGTTTCAAGTGCATTGCCTTGAGTGATTGCATCTAGAGGCATATGGTGATTGTGTTTCGCTGTGGGATTCACTTGTTACTTTTGGTGTTTGCCGACATCTAGACGGCTTGGTGCAGCGAGGATTGTTGAGCGCAGGGTGATGCTTGTCTCCGGCTTCGATCGTGGTGATTGTGAGAGGTTCTTGAGCCTTTCCCGTAGGAGATCACGAAAGGCATCTTTATTAGATTGCTTGTAGCTTGTGGATCCCATCTTGTATTGGTTGTGTGGCACCCGCTTATGAGTTAGGCGTGTGATGCCTATTATCATGTGAACCTCTAAGTGGGTGAACCGTTACGACGGGGACGTAGCTTGCCGGTATGAAAGTGAACCTCATTGAAAAATCATTGTGTAATCTTATCTCCGAGGATTTCATTGGTATTCATCGTAATTGATCTCTTGCCCAGCTCGGTATATCATTTCTAGCACTTGTATTTACATTCCTATATACTTGTGTAGTGCTAGTTGTAGCTAGTGAGTAGAGTAGCTAAATTAGTTGTAATTACTCTTGCTTAGGTAGCTCACTAGTGTAGCAAGTAGTGACATTGCCTTTGATTGATATATAGAGACCATAGCAACTAGAATTATGGATATGTGGCTTGCAACTCTTGTAGTGACAAGCGCACATTCGCTTTGTCATTTAATTGTCTAACCACTTGTCTTAATGTTGTTGTAGAATTTTTATAGGCTATTCATCTCTCTCTAACCATTTAGAACCTTTTAGGGTGTCGGGTTGAGGAGGCTCAACCACGCAGGGAGCTCGCCGGCGGAGGTGCGGGGCGTTGGACGGAAGAGGCATGGAGAGGAGTAAGAAAAGAAAAGAAAAAAACAGATGGGTCTCCCAATAGCTCATTCCATTTTTGATGTCTGCAAGCTAACAGAAAAAAGATGGGTCCTATCCCTCATCAACGAAACATAAGATGAAGTCGTTCCATGACACGGACCAATCCCACTCCACTTTGACTCCAACAGAAGGCTAACTTGTCTTCGGTACTAAACTACGTATCACGAGGCAGACGTCCATCAGCGCCCGGCGTAGAGGTGTGCTGGCAGCCTGGGCACGGCGATGGCCTCGAGAGGGACCAAGCGCGGAACGGCCAGTCCGAATTTCTCCTGCATGCTCAGCTTCTCCGGCGCCACGCCATCCGGCAGCCGCCACGCAAAGGCGTGCAGCAGGTTGGCCAGGGTCACCTGGACCATCTTCAGCCCGAGGATGTAACCCGGGCACATCCGGCGACCGGACCCGAACGGGAGCAGCTCCAGGTCCTGCCCCTTCACGTTCACGCCGCTGCCGACGAACCTCTCCGGGCGGAACTCCTCCGCATCGTGCCCCCACACAGCGGGGTCGCGGCCGATGGCCCAGACGTTGACGAACACGAGCGTGCCCGCCGGGATGTCATAGCTGCCCGTGGACGCGTCCTCGCGGCACAGCCGCGGCGCCAGCAACGGCGTCACGGGGTGCAGGCGGAAGGTCTCCTTCACGATGGCCTCCAGGTACGGCAGGTTCGGAATGTCCTGCTCGGTGACAAGACGGCCATGGCCGATGACGCTGTCCAGCTCCTCGGTGGCCTTGGCGAGGACCTCAGGATTCCGCAGGAGCTCCGAGATGACCCACTCGATGGTCACCGCTGAGGAGTCCGTGCCGCCAGCGATGAGATCCTGCATGCGTATGCGTCATATCAGAGGTTCTTTGTTAAAAAGGGCAAAGTAATATTATATTTTTTTAACCTTCAAGTTACTAGTATACACTAGTCTGATTTCCAACTGAACTACAATGCAGTAGACAAGAGACACACCTTCTAACTGTCGAAATTGGGCACATATTTGGTCCTCTGTTTCATAGGTGATTTTCTATTTTCTAAACATAATAAAAAACAGTTTGGTCTCATAAAAATTATATTTAATTAATTTTAAAGATACGAAGCTAGTTTTACTTTTTTTTCTTCTAAAAATGTTACGTACTTATTTATGATCTATACTCCCTCCAGGTTGATAAAAAAAGTCGTTTTGGATAACGCTTGAGTCAAACATTGTGAATATAGATCATGAATAACTTTTAAGTTATTGAGTTTGAAAATATGAAAACCACATGAATAGATTTATCTTGAAAAACACTTTCATAAACATATACATATAACACTTTTTCAATAGGAAAAAGTCTACTTAACACCCCACCTTTCATACTGTCTACTTCACCCCCCAACTATGAAACCGTCTGTTTTACCCCCTGAACTTTCTAAAACGTCTATTTTACCCCTGGGCAATTTTCAGCGACGGTTGCTACAGTAACAACGGGTTGCTACAGTAACAGTTGTTTTGAATTTTTTTTTTTTAGATTTATTTTCGGTGAATTTTTGAAAAATCATAAAATGAAAAATCTAATTTTGTTGGACTCCACATGAGGAGATCTATATAGTGAATATATAATACGGTATGCTTTAGTACAAAATTTTTACTGTAGCATTAGATTAATTGGAAAATCTAATTTTGTCTGTAATTAATTGGAATAATTCATATTATAGATAACTTCTATGGTCCAATTGTGGTGAAATTTTTATAATACGCTAATTATTGTATGCTTGAACTATAGTAAAATTTTTCGTACTCATTGGACTATAACAGTTATATAACTAATTAATTTAGTTATAGATAAATTCTAATTAATTAAAGATAAAATTGGATTTTTCAATTAATCTAAAGATAAAAAAAAAAAAAAATTGTACTAAAGTATACCGTATTATATATTCTTTGTGTAGAACAACTTATGTGGAGTCCAATAAAATTAGATTTTCATTTTATGATTTTTCTATGATTTACTATTTTTTTTTTCAAAATTGACATGCGGGCCCGAGCTGGCTTCGCCCGAGGCAGGCGAAAATAAATAGCCAAAAAACTCAAAACCACTGTTACTTCCCTTAGCAAACCGGTGTTGTTGTCCGCACCCTCCTCGGTCCCTCTCCCCAAAACTTTCGCACTGCACGCCGCCTCCTCTCCCCTCGCGACCAAGCACCTCCTCTCTCTCCCCCGCCTGAGAAAACCTCTCCGTCTCCGAGATGTGGCGGGGTAAAATAGAACACTGGCGGGCTGCCCACCGGCCCAGCGCGTGCCTCTCTCTGCCTCTTAGCCTTTTCTCCCTTCGGTGTTGAGAAAGGTGCAGGGAAGATCCGGCGACGTTGCTGCACGGGAGGCGAATCAGCATCCAGCTATGGCGGGCACGGAGAGGTCTCCGTGGCGCGCCTCTCTCTCTCCTCCATCCCGGCCGGCGCCCAGACGAGACGACGGTGGAGATCGCCGAAGGCAGGCGGTTAAATCCGGCGGGCGGCGCGGCGATTTTCCCTTTTCAATAGATCTCTCCTTCCGTCTCTGTCAGGCCTCGGCCCGCTGGTAGCTTAGCTAGTACCACCTAAAAATAGGTGCAGCTTTCGTCCAACCAAGACTCGGTAGACTTTTCCTTTTCAATAGATCTAGTACCACCTAAAAAATAGGTGCAGCTTTCGTCCAACCAAGACTCGGTGCCTGTGCCATACGCCCCTCAAGTCGCCGAGCACCTACTGCTGCACATATGCGCCGAAGCAGCACGAGAAGCAAGCCGAGCAAGCAACAGTAGTGGCCTAAAATGCTGTCACGCGCATATGGTTACGAAATGCTCCTACATTACTCAGCAGATCGATCGATCGGCTCCACATTAAGTACGTGCACCGTCCGGAGCACCGGGCCTACACAGTAGTGGCGGAAACTGTGGGACCACCTGGCCCTAGAACTTTTGCGTTTAACCCATTTATTATATATATAGTAATTTTAAAGTTTTAGATGTTTTTAGAATTACACAGGACAACGTCATACACACACGCACACTCATCTTTATGAACACATGTATGCAGACCCTACCCCTATCAGCACCTCTAAATGGTGAGTCGGCGGATCTCGAGATATACAAAGTCACCATAGGAGCCTCGCTCTCGATGGGGACGTCACCTACCACTGAAAGTATAGCGCCATTAAATCCTGGAATAAATCCAGAAAAATACGAGCAACAGTGCCAAGTCGAGTACTTAAAGCTGAGTGGGTAGATTCCACCATAAGGGACCCAACCAACTGATCTATGATAAGTTCGCATAGATGTTGATTGTGTAAGCTTTGTGTTAATCTCTACTTATATCTTACACCTAAAATAACGGTAAAGTCATCGTCTAGCTGATGATACCTAATATTGAACTCTGCTCACGCGTCCATGTCCTATACGAATTATCCTTCATTTAGAGATCAAGCATCCGCGTCCTACCCGGTTCCAATATAATGAACGGATCCACGCGTCAATGTCTGGTACGAAATCTCGGAGATCATGTGTCTGTGTCCGATACAAAGTCCATTGGGAGCTCATGCATCCACATCAGATTACTGAGGCTCAATCCAAAATATTGTGACCCGGTGCAACGCACGGGTATATATCTAGTACCTTAACAAAAATAAGAAGTCAAAGGCCCCGTTCGCTGGGAGGAATTTCAAGAAATCAAGAGAATTTGTGAGAGAGAAAACACTGTTCCGGATGAAAAAAGAAGCGGATCAAGCCAGATTTAAGGGCACGCGAACAGGGCCAAAGTTATGCTTTGGAGACCGTTTCGCTATCAAAATGACTTCTTTTACTTGAAACTGGTTTCTTTTGGTTTCTATTGCTTTATTGCTTCTAATCGGGCTATCATTTATTTGAAGCAAAATAAAATCTAAATATCTCTAAATAGAGCATCAGTAGATAAATAACATTTTGAAAAGAAAATTGTAGCTAGTTCCATATTTTTTATTTCAAATAAATTAATTATAAAGTTTCAGATATCAAATAAGATTTTTATTATTTTTTGAAAAAAAAAAACATCTTCCAAACAATTGGTCCCTACCAATCTATATAATATCCATAGAAACTTTTTCATACTAAACTAAAGAAATTTACAATTTCTTCGAGCAGGAAATATCGCAATGCCACCCCTTGACTTAAATAGAAACCATCTTTTCAAACTAGAACGCCCTACACAACTTGATTTATTGTGTTTATCAACCATGTGATGAATAACTATCAGTTTATTCACATAGTGTTGTCCTTCGTTATTTTTGCTTTCTGAGTTGTTAGTGATGTTGTGAACATTGTACTAACTGGTAGTGAATATAGCTATCATGTTGGCTAGGGGCCGCAAAAAGAAAATTGCAATTTCTTTGAGTTGGAAATATCGCAATGCCACCCCATGACCAAAATAAAAAACCATCTTTTCAAACTAGAACCACCATACACAACTCGATTTATTGTGTTTATTTACCATGTGATGAATAACTATCAGTTTACTACACATAGTGTGGTCCTTCATTACTTTGCTTTCGGAATTGTTAGTGATGTTGTGAACATCATACTAACCGGTTGTGAATATGGTTATCATGTGTGACTAGGAGTCGCAAAAAGAAATTTGCAATTTCTTTGAATTGGAAATATCACAATGCCACCCCATGACCTAAATAAAAAACCATCTTTTCAAACTATAACCACCCTACACAACTCGATTTATTGTGTTTATTTATCATGTGATGAATAACTATCAGTTTACAACACATAGTGTGGTCCTTCGTTACTTTGCTTTCAGAATTGTTAGTGATGTTGTGAACATCGTACTAACCGGTAGTGAATGTGGCTATCATGTGACTAGGGGTTGCAAAAAGAAATTTGCAATTTCTTTGAGTTAGAAATATCACAATGCCACCCTATGACCTAAATAAAACAATCTTTCAATCTAGAACCACCCTACCGAACTCGATTTTATTATGTTTGTTTACCATGTGATGAATAACTTTGTTATTTTGCTTTCATGTTAGTGATATTGTGAAAATCGTACAAACTGGTAGTGAAAGTATCTATCATGTTGACTTGGGATCGCAAAATGAGTTTTGCAAGTTCTTTGAGTGGCAAATATCACAATGCCATCCCATGACCTAAATAAACCATCTTTTCGAACTAGAACGGCTCAACAAACTCAACTTATCTATATCAAATATTAAAGAGCCAAAAAATTTTGCCTCTAATTTTTGTCCAGCACAATCATCGAGTGGCTAGGCAACCCGCTCAGGAAGTTGCCCCTGCCTATTTTTCTCTCGTTGGATGGAACTCCGATTTTTTCCATGGACAATGTTCCTCTTCGTGTCTAGCTGGTCCCATCATAGTCACCAACAAATAGATAAATCATTCACATGATGCCAACTAACTTCTTAACGAGTTTAACCATATATTAGCATTACATATTTTATGGTCCTCAAAGAAGTCATGGAACTCGATATCTCTAGCTCATCAAAACATGGATAGTATAAAAACTAAAGTTACGATATATTTACGAGTGAATATTTTTGTTCCTTACAACATAATAGGAAAATCTATTAAGGTTGTATTTCAATTCTTGTCATATTATTGTTAATATTAACTTATGTAAAGGATGCATCATAAAATAAATTATAGCTTTTATATTTTATAGAAAGAGAGAAAATAAATAGATACTACCCTGTGTCCAAAAATTATGTGCGAAGTTAAGTAGTTTTAAGTTTGACCAAATATATCTACGAAAAAGAGTAATATTTATAATACCAAATAAGTAGTTTAATTACTCCGCCATATATTTTTTTATAGTAAACCTACT